TAGGTAATACTAAAACACTTTTTTGAAAACCGCGTCAAAATCGTTTCAGCCCAACGTTACATAATAGGGGACGATACATACAACATGTGCTAAAGTGCGAAACTTCATTTTTTGTCGGTTAATAAACCTAAAACTGCCAATACTATGCTGAAAACCGCATCTAAATCGATTCCATATACAGATCAAACTGAGAACCTCCTTTTTTTGAAGTCGGTTAAATATAAAAGTATAATCAAAATAGTCAATTACTGCTTGAGAAAATTTTGATTATAAGTACTTTACATTACGTTATGTACTTGTTTTGTATAAAATTATATTTAGGTTTTAGTGCGCACAAATAAAAGCTTGTTTTTAAAAAAGTTTTTTTTTATTATTTTAATTTTAATATTGACGTCATATGAATAACAGAAAATTATATATTTAAAAAAAAAACGGACCACACCTCTTGTCGAGTTGATAGTTTTTAATTAATTACGTTTGCATGGAATGAAAATGACCGAGCACAAACGATAAAACAAAACCATTTATCTCTATTTGGTCAGTATTTTTTATTTATTGAATACAATTGCCCGTGTGACTGTGTTCATTCATTTCACACTCGGGTACAAATAAGCGATTATAATATATTATTTGTGTGGTATTGCTAAGGTAACATTGGAATCAATCAATACAACATTTTAAATTCGAAAGAAAATAAAGTTTTCTTAAGAAAGTAAAGTACCAAACGACCAATCACCACGAAATAATGTATGTGTGGTGATACTGGTGATTAGTCTTTGAATGGGGATACAGTATCCTACATTGAGTGAATTTGGTTACATTGGATTTCATACAAAACGGCCGGCATACTACTTCTACTCTTTTTTCTGATCTGTGTGCCTGTACAATTTTTATTAAAGAATATATATTTACAAAAACAAGCGAAACCTTACCGCGATGTATAAATATTGTAGCGCTATCTAGTAGCCAAAACAATAACTAAGTGTTAATTTCAAACCTCAAGTATCTAGTAGTTTTATAATAAGACGGTTTATGTCTATGAGATAAGTTTTAAATATCTAGAAATAAGTCCATATAATTTAATGTATTTATTTAATTTTGTATTTGTTTTACCTTTATATTGTATAATAAATTATTCTCGAACTCTGTGAAACAATTTAAATTATAGACTATATGCCCCGCGTATGGTGTAGCTTCTCGTAGGGGAAAAAATATTGAAAATGGGTCCAGTGCTTCCGGAGCCTATTAAATGCTCACAAATAAACGATCTAATCTTATTTAATATTTTAAATGTTACCTATTAAAAAAAAAATCACTAAAATAACATTTTTTTCTTAAGAACATAGATTTCTCGCTTTTTCAAAGTTTAAAGTCGAGTTATTTTTTGAAACGTTATATTATATCCATCCCATTATGTGCATTTACATTTTGAGTTCAGAGCGTCGGATTTTGTTAGGCATATCAATAGGATCTGTTAGGTACATTTATAGTATAAGTAGCTTTAAGCTAAAATGAAATACTATAAAGGTGAAAGTTAGTTGATGGTGGAGGATGGATGTAAGTGCATGAATGTATGTTAATAAATTTGGCATATGAATAATTCTATGCCTAAATTAACATATTATTTTTTATTCCACGAAATGATTCTCTAGCGACCTCACGGGCGAAGCCACTGACAGAAAACTAGTGACTCAAATTCTGTGAAATCATTTTAATACTAATTGTAATTACAATCATTCCACTGCATTGCATATAATCTATCATAAAACTTAATGTTACATAAACTAATGACGGTACATCCGTTGTCTAAAAGGCGTGTGCGAGTAATCAACTGAACTAAATGTATTTCATAAACGTTGCTGTGTTTCTATCTGATTAATAAGCTCCAGTCATGCTGGTCACGCCCCTGCGCAATATGGGTGACAGAGACGCTAAGCAGACAACAGACTTCATTAGGAATATTACACACTAATATTATAAGCGTATGGAGCGATCAACGTTTAATATTATAGATTACTAGCGACCCTCCCTCGCTATTTAACGTGTATTATTTCAAGAGGAGCTAAAAACACAGCGGTGAATGTATTCGGACTGCAATACGGAGATAAGAGAACTTTGGCAAGGGCTAGTCGTAAGTTGGATAACCTATTTATTATCGCGAGCTCCATGTTGCTACTGAAGACACGTTATACCTGGTATCCGATGTCCCAATTTGATTCTATCCAAAAATAAGTACTGCGCGTAGGGGGCTGGGTATGGAATCATTTTTCTGTATCCCAGATTCTTCCCCCATAAATGAGGGTATATCGGAAGGGATTTAGTAGGTATGCCATCTGCGTATTGACTAGCCTTCGGGCGTGTGGCTACGGATGGAGAGTCTCATACAACGCCATACTGTCAAGCATCAGAGACAGCCATAATACATTCCCTCTACGAGAGAGTAAGGCATGTACCCTAGCAGCGGAAAATCAATTTTCTGAGGGTGATGGCACTGAATTGTCACAGCGATCATTATATCTTCTTAGGTAACTTTCATATGTTATTTAACTCTTAACCTTATTAAGAATATACTTTGGTAAAAATTTCGGTAACAACAGTTATAAAGATTTTCCTATCATATCTCCAAAATCAAAACATTTCTTTGATACGACAGAGGAAAAATTATTGGTTAATATTAAAAGAAAGCTGAGTTCAGATGACAGGAAAACTTTTCTTATTAGCTAAAGACAGGGTGGAATTCTTATACGGCCCGGTAATCTTCTGTCGGGTTGCGAAGTGACAGATCCTTGAAGCGATCCGAAGTTAGGCTGTTTAACGGGCAATTTTGAGAAATTAAAAGGCAATCTTGTCTGGGCGTCTATAGACTTTACGGAGCTGTTTGGAAATTTTTTATCACTGTTTTAATGCTTTGAGAGTTAAAGCTGTTTTATTTTCTATTTTATTTTATTGAAGGCAAAAGCGTAACAAAAAGTATACATAAAATTCAGTTACATAAATAAGGGTAATGTGTCTCTCATTAATTTATTTAAACTTTATAAAATAGTGTTTCTTTTTATGTGTGTAGGAAGAAATATTTGTAGAATATTAAGGAAGGTTTGAAGGTTGTGAAAAAATAAGAAATTACAAGTTTTTACTTGGGTACATTTAAAAATTAATTTATTAAATTGAAAAATGAATGAAAATTGTAGGGAATGTCACCTAGCTACCTAATTAATCGTGAAAGAATCAAAGAAGCAATTGCATAAATAACATAAATCAAATTTACACAAACCGAAATCACAAATATAATGATAGCTAACGAAACAAACATTGGATCTCGTGGAATTATTCGCTTTATTAGATACTTTTCATGGCATTTAATGGGCCAGAAAAGGGCAAGAAATTTATGGTCGCACAATAAATCCTGTGCAATTGGGATACACGCCTCGGCACTTAATCTGAATTGGTCTTTTTTGTATACAAGAACAATAAATTAATATTGTCAATGTCAATCGGATTGTTAGGGGTCAGGCGTGTCGTAACTTAAAATTAATTATGATCGTTCGTCCCTTTTCAGTGCTCAGGATCTGGCTGTAGGATATTTATTTAATAATAACAATAACTTTATTTCTGGCAAATCATTTTCTTACACGGAATTACAATAGTCTTATTATTATTTGTCAAATATCCTTTATAAAGGTTTTTCAATTTCATAGAAATGTAGATTCAACGTGTCCAGTTTTGGTATTCTTATTAATATGAAGTATGCAAGATATATCCATATTTTGACTTCAAGTTTAAATTTTAATCTAGTTACGTAGTGTCTGAATCTTTCTTTTACGCCAAAAGGTTCAATTTCTTTAGAATAATATTATGTATTTCTTGCTTTCCAACTACCAACAAAATCGTATTAAACTCTTTTAACAACGCCTCAATTACTACTGCTTGTACATGAGCAATATTACTTACTATTCCAGGGACAATATTGGCCGTCGCCGTAATAGTAGGCACGATTTATTGTTACCCTTATAAATCACACGAGTCGGGATCTACATGCACTTACACACTTTTTGTGATAAAAACATATAGAATTCTATTCACGGGAAGCCTTTTATCTTTTTCCAGGTGAGATATTGCTTCTTTTAGTAGTGATTCAATAAATGTTTTACTACTATTTGTCATATTCAGTAACCTCATGTTGTTTGGTGATAAAAAATATTTTTAAGCTGTGTCATTCCTAAGTATGATTTTTTTTTATTAACATAGACATTATTTTAGATATCTATACTTATAAAAGAGCTTCTTCTAATTCACCAAATGATCATTGCCGGGTGTTTATTGTTGATGTTAGAGTCGAGATATATCAGTAAAGTTATTGGTGAAGTAGACACTTTTTTTTAATTTTAAACTATTTTAACAATAAAAATATTTCCTCGCCTATACTTATATTATAAAAAGAGGAAAGATTCGATTGCTTGTTTGTATATTTGTTAGAAGTTTGAATAGAATAGGTACCAAACTATTGGGCTGATTATAAATATTCTTTCATCTACGGGTAGCTACATCATACGGGGTTGATTAGGTTATAATATACGCGTACGAAGTTGCAGAAAAACAGTTAGTTTATAATATTAGTAAAGATAATCATATATAATAGATATGCTTATCAGCATTCAGCATTTAGTATCCGTCGCGTACTAACACCTACTTCCATAGTGTTTAAAATCGTTTGCTAATTCATTGAGAAACTAGACGTATCTTTCGTCAGATTAGCACCGACCCTGAAGCATAAATGTTAAGCAGATGGAAACTTCGTATCTCTATGACCCTAATTAAGTTATGGTTAGCATTGATCCTAGGCTTCAATTATTGACAAGAGGCAAGACCATAACAAGATGAATTATCATGGCTCTTATTAAAGATGCTTCTGTCACTCGCTGTCATTTGTACATTCGATTGTCACAAACTGATTGATTATTAGTTAAAAATTGAAAATTATACAATAAATTTATTATCAAACGATGAGTGCTAAAGTTGTTGCCATGATAGTTATATTCATAACAAATTTTAAGACGTGTCAAAGCAAGAGATATGATGACTTCTCGTTATTCAGCGTGATCCCAGAAGAAGTGGAGCATTTGAAATTCCTACAGAATCTGGAGAAGCAAAAGTATATAGATATAATATTTTGGAGGAAGCCATTAAAACTGTATCATGAAGTGCACTTCATAGTCAATCCAGCTGATACAAACCTTTTGGTAGAAAGGGCAAAACATTTTAAAATAAAAATCAATTTGCTGCAGCCTAATCTCCAGCAGTAAGTAAATTTAAATAGAGTATTTGATAAGAAATGGCTTATTTTAAACATTTTATCTAAAAATTAAAAAATCTGGTAGTATAATCGGCGAGTATAATACTGTAGAATTTATTAACAAAGTAAAATCATATTTACCAAGTTTCTTGTATATAACTTTTCATTATAAGATAAACTCCTAATTGAATATATGTACTAGTAGCATTACGTTGAATAGATCGTTAAGCGATTTCAAAAAGGTTTTATGAAATAGAAATCTTCCAGGAAGTGCTCTAGACTAGACTTACTCACTTTTAGATTTCTATTATAACTTCCATTACATATAAAAACTATAATAATAAACGATTATTATTATTATTCCTAAAGTACTTTAAACAGATAGTTAAGTAAGAATTTTTGATGTGTTTCTGATATATGACAACTTTTATCGTAGGGCGTTTGATGATCAACGTATAAAAAGATATCTTCGTCTTAGAGTGGAGACTTTTTCATGGGACTATTATCATTCCTTGGAGGACATATATCAATGGATGACTGATCTAACATTGAAATATCAAGAAAACGTAGAAGTGATAACAATTGGAAATTCAACAGAGGGACGAGATATATTAGCATTAGAAGTAATGAACGGGATTGGTAAAAAGCAAGTACTGATCGAAGGTGGTATCCATGGAAATGAATGGATCTCAGTAGAGTTTGTCACTTATTTAGCCAATCAATTGATAAACAATGATGGATCAAATCAACAGTTAGCTGCTCTTGCGAAGAACTACAATTGGTATTTGATACCCATACTGAACCCAGATGGCTATGATTATAATCAAAAAGTTGTATGTTGAGTACATGTAATATTTCATTTTAATGCCAAATGTAATAAGCAGGGCTAGTAGCTGATTTTATTATATTTGTTTTGCAGGATCGTCTTTACAGAAAAAATAGAAATAAATATGGGGACGGTATTGGCGTCGACTTGAATAGAAATTTCGATTACAGCTTTAGAAGTAAGCCCTTTTAAATAATACTTTTTTTATAAAGATTTGAACAATAAACAAGTTGCCTCAGATATACAGATATGAGTGCATATCTGAGGCAACTTGAACTTTTGAATTTTGAGTAGTGAATTTGGAATTGTGGAGATTTTCTCAGAACAGTGTTCTAATATTGTTATATTTGCTTCTTTTTTTTTCTTGATGACTTAATTTATCCTTAGTTATGAGGAAAAATCACCTGATTTTATTATTCAATTATAATTAACAAAAAAATATACCTTTTGTGACAATAAATATTTTTTTTTGGAACAAAATCATTTTACTTTAAAATATCAAGAAAATGTAGAATTGAAAGAAGTATTGAACGCCCAATAATTCATTTAAATATTTTAATTTGTCCTCTCAGAATTTGCAACAAGTGACGATCCTAACGATGAGAATTATTGTGGCCCCAACCCCTTTTCTGAACCTGAAACAAAGGCGCTCAAAAGTTTTATGGACAAGACTCTAAACGACTTATATGCTTACGTTGCAATACATAGTTATGGACAGAAGATTGTAATACCATACTCTGATAGAGTTAACCACGTGGATGACTATGCTGAAATGGTAAGCAAATGTTTGATGTTTGATCCAGCAAATTATTAACATTTTCTTCTTGTCCTTCATCATCACTGATATCTATTAAACCTATTTTGTTTTTCAATATGAACATCCTGGCAGTACATACGAATTATATACTTTTTAATTTACTGCTTCAGTAATCATTTAATCAAACATTTCACATTTAATATCAACTGTTCGAATAAACCTATTTTTAGGTCTAATGGCTATGTTTATTGAGATGGCGGGAACAAAATGAAATTCCTCATTCAAGCTTTTGCCTACCGTCAATATGAAAACGGAATATTCATGCTAGATTTAAATTTCAAATGGAATTTTGTTTTCAGGCAAATTACGGTAAACAAGCAATAGTGAAAATGTATAAATTATACGGCAGAAAATACAGCGTTGGCACATTTTACGATACGATGGGTGAGAACAAAAAGTCATTGTAACAACAATGTTACAGTATACTTAATTTATGAGCTGATTTGTGAAATCTTCAATATAATAAATTATGTAGGAATCTAGAAGTTTTTATAAAAAAATCTCGATCTAAAGTTTACGGCGCGTTCAGTTATTGGTTTCTAACCTGTCTTCAATAATTTCATCATCATCTTGTTAATTCCCCACTACTGGAGCACAGGTCTTCATTATAGATGGAATCCAGTCGAATCAATTTGGCAGAGGAGCTATTAGGAGGATTTATAGTTGAGTACTAACGATTATAGATGCACTAATAGATTAACGTGACTTTTGAAGTACGAAGAAGCTGGAGATAGTTAAAATATGATCACCCACTAAACGTGCTAACTTCTGCGCTATCCAGTTTCTCCACAATTTGTATTGTCTAATTGTAATAAGATATATTTATATGTTTTACTGCTGTTGAAATATTTTCTCGAAAATAAACTCTCTGCACGTGATTATTTTCTTCAAATGAAGAATTAGAAACAGAATCAAACTAGTTGGTGTTCTCCCAAATAGTCATTAATCGTGTATGATTTTATAGCCCTTTAAGTAATAACCTTATAAATATCATATTCTTCTCAAATTCATAAATTATAAATGAATCATCTTTTAAACGGTTTCATCACATAAGACTTATGTTAACACGAAACCTGTAAAGGGTCCGAAACGTCATAAAACTAAATACAAACGCGATTAAACCGTTTCATTTATGTTAAAGTTGTTTCATTTATGGATAGTGCGCGTGAAAAAAATAAGATATCTTAAATTATATCTATCTTTATATATCTAGGACTACGAATTTCCGGGAACAGTGCAAGCTGGGTAAAAAAGAATTACAAAGTCAAGTAAGTACCATTTGTATTCAGAGTTAGTAGCTTTATAAAACGGAAAGCTAAATCAAGTAATGATCTCTGGCGAAGTTTTCATGGAATTCTAAAACAGACCGAATCTGTTATTTTTTTCTTTACGAAATATTCTTTTTTAATTTTTATTTCGTTATCCATGATAAAATATCAAACAGGAATGTTTTTAATAGCTAATATTATATATATATTATTGATTATATTATTGACAACTAAATATAAGTTTTTTATTAAACATAAGTTGTGAAATTAAAAAGATTAAAAAAACTTCTTAATGGAAGCATTGTATAGCACTGTATAATTAAAATGGATCATTTTTTTTAAAAGTTCCGTTAAACTAAAATATCTAATTATTTAAAACTGCTGAATCAATTTCAATAAAAATAGAAGCTGTTTCCTAAAATAAGAGTTTAATCAAACAAAAACCAATTTTATTCTGATATTTCACCTGTGAGAAAACTAAGACAAATAATACAAACATGTCAACAGGTCATGGGTTCGTGTCCTATCACAAAGTGGAATTTTTAAGTTTTATCCTTTAAGAATATTTTTCAATAGCCTATATCTTAATTCACGTTTAGAATGTCATAAAAACAAATAAGTGGTATTTGCTTGAAAAAAAAAACATACATACATAAAATAAGAGTCAAATTGATAACATCTATTATTTGAAATTCGTTAAAAATGTATGACCAAACGTCCATTAAAATTTACATTAGTTTAAGGCGAATCACCCATACAAATTTGACATTCATTAGAGCTTATTAAACCTTAATGGACGTTAGTGAAACAGACCGTTAAACCCTAGGGATTTTAAATTTTGTAATCTCATCAAATTCATTAGCATTTTATGTGCATTACAAATAAATTCAAGAAGACACTTCAGTGTTATTCAGAAAATTTCCCATATCTATTTTTTTCAGAACATTCGATAAATCATGTTATGTAATCGCTGTACGAGCTTTATTTGTGTGTTCTTTCTTTATACAGTCGTGTCTTCACAATGCTTTTGCGAGATAATGGATCATACGGCTACGCTCTCCCACCTGACCAGATACTACCAGCTAGTAAGGAAGCCATTATTGGTTTACTGGAAGTTATGACTGCAAAACCTAGATACGTTAGAGCGGATCCTTTCAACACATGCCCGAAAGGACAAAATTTTGACATTGCGCTTATGATCTTCATGCTTTTGACTTTGATGATGGATTAAGAAGGGTAATATTTATGAAAAAAGTAAAGGCTGCTTGCAAAGTTTCCTCTTACAACAAATAACTGTGATTGGGTAATCGAATACACTTAATGCGTTACGATATACGGTATTATTTGATTATTAAACTCATTTTTGGATCGAAACAATTTTTTTAATTTTTCTGTTTTAAAAAAGTTCCTGTTGTAGCTGCTAATTTCTGTGTACATATTATGGCATACATACTAAAATATTTTAATTACGTTAGTCTAGGATCAACTGTTTATCTTACCATAGTGATATTCGTTGAATTTTAAAATGTCTAAAGTCATATTAATGACATTTGTTTGAAGATTTGAAGTACAAAGGTAAGGAAAAATGTGAAATCACTGAGGCTGAAATATTTATTCATGTTCACAAATTTAGTAAATGTGTTTAAAAAATGTTAAAATTTTGTGTATTTTCAATATATTTATTGTTAATTTATCATTATCAATCATGTGAGTGTATGAAGTATTCTAATTATACTTTATATAGAGGAACGCCTGTGAGCGATGATCATTTAGAATTCTTCAGGAATCTAAGTGTTATGTATAATGTGGACTTTTGGAGAGAACCAGGACAGATAAATAAACCGGTAGACTTTACTATAAAACCAGAGGATCAAGCAAGTTTCCTAAGAGAAGCTGATAAAAGGGGCATATACTTAACCACTGTTATGCGGGATATCCAAAGGTTAACTAAGCCTATATAATATACAATTAAGCTTTAAGACGTTTGCAGTAGTGTTTTGTGTCTGAATTTGCCATTTGTATATTCAATTTGTATATTCTTGCTCGAGTTTCTATAGACAATTGCCTGAATTAACGCAGATATTCAGACCAAAAGGAGACGGACAAATCAATTTTCTTTACACCTCTCTTTATGACAAATGAAATAAGAATTCTGACAATTTGACGCGTGTGCGATAAATTATATGTTTGTATACAAAGAATTCTATTTTTTTTTTATCTGCCTCTTGTGGCCCGTTCTGTTCTCTTAAATGAGCTTTCACATATTTAGTAGGTTATTTAATACCTCTTTTATCTTTACCCAATACATAATATTATTTATCATACTTACAAATTAAAGAGTGCGAGCCGAAATCTTACTGAGCTTATTTTTTAATATTAATCGTTACATACATTTTAGAGCATTCGATAAGCAAACTGTCAGGAGTTATATAAGAAGAAACATGGAATCCTTCAATTGGCAAAGTTATTTTAGATTAAATGATATTTACGATTGGTTAAGAGACCTACAGAAAAAGTATCCTAAAGAAATGCAACTTTTAAATATAGGTCGGTCAGCTGAAGGAAGAACAATGATGGCTGTAAAAATCGCATTAAAGGGGTGTATGTCAAGGTAAATGTAACAGATTTCCATAAAACAAATGCTTTAGCTATTTAACTAGATATCTAGACCGACGCACGTAGGAGTATTGTCATGATAAAACCGGTCAAAAGTCGAAAATACAAACTTTTTCAAAACGGCGAATACAAACTTATTTTTTTTTAAAGATGAAATACCGGTTCGATGCAAGGCAACAAGAAAAGATTGGCACGGGCGGACCCCTCCACGCGGAGTCAGTCGGAACTTAGCCATTGTCTAAACCACACGTCATTGTTCTCGGCATTCCCGTTTATTTCCGTTGTATTAGATTAAAAATTTTGAGTTCATGAGTGTTTTGGGAAAAATATCTTTATAAAAATGGATATGGAAGGTATGTAGTTTACTTTTGTGTATTTTTTAATATTTTATCACTTTAAATAAGGCTTATAAGAATGTCCAAAGAAAGCTTTGAAAAAATTATTTATTTAAAGTTATTTCTTTTTTGAAAATAGTGTTTTTCTATACTTGTCAAGGCTATTTTGTGAAATACATGTAGTGAAAGTTATTGTTGAACTTTTAAAGCATAAAGTCAGCACCCATGTGCGCCCATGTCCGCCATTTTGTTTATCGAAGCGCAGTAGAGAATAAATACACTTTTGTGGCATGTGTGTATAATTATTTCTTCTTTGTGTTTTTAAAAGCTTTGGGGTTCGTTATAGTGCGTAACTTTGTTTAAACTTTTAAATATAACAATATTACGTTTTTATATTACGTTTATGTTTTTTTTTTTCATTTACAGGTATTCTTGATTCTAGTCTAAGCTTTACCAGACTAGCCTTGTATGACCTAATGCAAGAATCGAAAGGAAAGAAACTCGAATAAAAGTTTCAGTTACTGCAAGATAAGCTTGTAAATATTACTCAATGCCCTAACTCCAAGAAAAATAAGATTTTTCAAGAGCCAATTTAAGCAAAGATGGATAGTTGCTAAACGAGAAGAACTGCGTTTCTTAATTAATAATGAGGAATGGCTTACATCCTCCATAAAACTTTCCGATTTCGGAGCAGAAACTACTCAAAAACCGCGGTGACCTACTAAAAGTTTTGAAAATTTAAGTGAGCAAGAGACGAAAAACTATGGAGCTACGGAAGCAAGTATCCGCCGAAGAGTTGGTCTATGCAGCTAATGTTAGCCAACGGACTAGTGGTAATACCGATGCATCTGTGATGATAAAGACAATAATGGCAAGTCCAACGAGAGCCACTAAAATCCGAAAATCTATTGCATCAAAACTAGAGTTAGTGAAAGCAAAAAAAACACACACAATTGAAGAGGCATTGTCTATTTTTGTTGAAGGCGACTTTACAAGAAGACAGTGGGAATCAATTTATAGTATGAATAAAGATATTTCTCCATGTTATTCCCTAATTCAGAAAGCAAAAACACAATGTTACCCCAAATTAGAATCCATTCGTGTCACTGAAACATACATTGAGGTACAACTGCAGGCATGACTTGATCATACAGTATCACGTTTATTAAAATACCTGACTGAGGTGATTGACACTTGTACGAAGGATGAAAAAGAAAACTTGGACATGATCATAAAGTGGGGATGTGATGGCTCACAACAATCGCAATTCAAACAAAAGTTCCAAAATGCCACTGACAGTGACTCAAATATTTTTTAGAGTTCTTTAATTCGCGACTAGTAGTTAGAACAAATGGAAAAATAATATGGCAGAAACCTCTTCAGTGAGATATTGCAGACCAGTTCGAATACGATTTATTGCAGAAACAAAAGATGTCACTAAAGAGGAAATCACATTTATTAAAAGCCAAATAGAAAATCTGACAGAAACGCAGGTAGTGACATCTGATGGATTAGCAAAAATTAAGCATGTAATGTTATTTACAATGATCGATGGCAAGGTCTGTAACGCAGCCACTGACACAGTATCAACAATGCGCTGCTATATTTGCGGCCAAACGTCCAAAGATTTTAATAAATTAATTAAAAGGCAAGTAACAAATCCAGAAGCACTACAGTTTCGACTCTCAATTCTCCATGTTAGGATACGTTTTTTTGAATATCTACTTCATTTGTCATATAAACTCCCAATAAAAAAATGGCAAGCAAGATCAGCTTCCGAAAAGAAATCTGTTAAAGATGTGAAAAAAAAATCCAAATGGAATTTAGACAAGAAATGGGGCTACTCATGGATGTACCTAAACCCGGATTTGGAAACACGAACGATGGCAACACGTCACGAAGATTTTTGCAGACCCAGATACATCTTCTAGAATAACGGGCATTGAAGTGGACCTTATCAAACGAATGAGGGTTATATTAGAGGTCATATCAAGTGGCAATAGCGTAGATACTAATAAATTTGATATATACGCTCAATTTGATAAAATTTTGATGCATGGTGCCCAAATAATTAGTAAGGCTCTATTGCCGATTGGCCAATTATCGGAGGAGGCGGTTAAGGCGCGTAATAAGAACTTTCGGCAATACGGAATGAATTTTTCAAGAAAATTTTCTAGGGTGGATTGCAATATGGATATCTTATATCTTATCTTAATAGATTGCTCTTGAGTTCGGATACATATTTAAGCTCATTGAGACCTAGAACAAATAAAAAACGGCAGCCTTTGTCTAAAGAAGCATTAGATATATTGGTCGCAGGTTCTGCTTACAGTGATAACGAAGAGAAGGAAGAAAACAAGAATGATGACAATGATTTCTCATAACATTTTTTTTGTATTTGGTAAACTGTACTTTTTGAGACTATATATAAGAATATGTACTGTATTTTTAATTTTTCTTGTAATAAATGCTTTTAAACGATAAATAATACATTCCTTTTTTTTGTAATAATCCATAAAATGTTTGTGACCGACTTTTTCATACAAATACTCCTATGTGCGACGTATGTAATGTTATCCAATATTGTATCTACTTTTTCGATCCTTATTTTGAAATAAGCAAAAATCGAAGACATGCCAAAACACTATCAAATATTCTTAATGGGGAAATTTGTTGACTTGTGAAAAATTTATTAAAACTTATTAGCGAAAATTTAGCCACAGTTCTCACTATTTCAATTAACCCATTTAAAATATGAAACATATTATATCGCTACCATGTACTCAAAATATTCTAGATTATACTACCATCTATATTCATACAAACAATTAATTTAACCCTAGTAATAGATATAAGCAAACCAATGTAGTATGCATTAAACCCGTCGTAACATAAAGGTTTATGTATTTATGACATAGTTTAAAAATAGCCCTGTGTTAATCTTATCTAATCATGTAGGTCAAAAGTGATTGTAGAAGGAGGTATTCACGCAAGGGAATGGATATCACCAGCTTTTGTCACTTATATGATATACAAAACGATAACTGCCCCGAAATGCAACAATAAAGAGTGGAAAAAAATTGCCCTGACCTACGAATGGTATTTTATGCCAGTAGTAAACCCCGACGGATATGAATATAGTCATACAGAAGTAAGTCATGAAATCTATTTATTGAGTCTTTGGAATTGAAAATTGGAAATGTAGAAATAGATATTAAATTGATGGGTTAACGCAGGTTACTGTCCTTCAAATGTGACTAATTTATAATGATGGCACAGGTTATGCTAAAGATTTCCACACTAGTACTAATTGATAGTACTTGGTAGATACTTTTGATTGCAAAGTAAAAGAAATTTCTCTACAGTATACGGTTACTGGAGCGTTTCCATAACATTATATAACATTCAGCTTCAAACAAAGCGCTGTCTAGTATCTGATCTTTTTGTACTAAAGTAGACCTACTATATCGTATAACGTTAATTTTAAAAACTGCACACAATTAGTCAGTATAACATCAATGTAGTTGGAAATTAATAGAAATAATGATGTATCTGTGTGTAGCAGAAAGGACCGTCCATGACATAATATTAGCGTTAGTTTTAGTTATTTTGAAATTTAATTAGAGCCTAGATGATTATTTAAGATAAATTTTAATTTACAGGATCGACTTTGGAGAAAAAATCGGAATGATCCAAGTGTGGACATAAATAGAAATTTTGATTCAGCATTCGGCAGTAAGATTATATTTCTTAATATGAATTCGAATTATGTTGTAGTTAAATCTGTTCTTGCTTTTTCAAAATTTCAGATTCCATATTAATTAAGATTATTATAAACGGTGAATGAACTTGTTAATCATATAGTGTAAAAGATATTATGCTTAATGACATGCGATTTTACGTTACATGGCACATAATTGGTTTCGCAATCCAAGTCACTTGTCTATAAATACATTTAGTGTCAAATAAATAAATTAACTAGTAGCTTTCCGCCAACGTCTTTGCCCGCTTGGTCCCCAGGGAACTGTTTCTTTAGATATCGATTCATATTATGATAAGGATATACATAATTACAATGATAAATTGAATCGAATACAATGGTTAGGGGGCGTCCATAAATTACGTGAGGTGTTTTTTCAAATTTTCTGACTCTCCCTCCCCCCCTGGTGACATGTCGTGAGATTTTATACAATCCCCTCCCCCATCCCCAAATCTCACGTGAGATTTTTCAAAATGTGGGTTTCTTATTTAAACACGTTGGATTTTTTTAATAAAAAGAAAAAAAATAATTCGCTTCGTACTTTTATTTACGACTAGTTAGAGACTAGTAATCAATATTGCTCTCATTCATCTAGTCACATGTTCAGCTGACAGTGGCGCGAAAACAAAGGACGAGCTACATTGTACCGTAAATTCAAATTAAATTGAGCTATTTGGTATAAAACGAATATAGTGGTTTGACAATCAGGAGTGATGTATAATGTCAAAGTACGAATGAAATTATTTTCTTTCCAACGAATTAGTGAATGATCTCAACCTTAGACTTGTCACTCTATGAGGGATTCCCCGCACCGAGCCTTATTTTAAAAATTGCGTGATATTTGCCGAGACCCCCCCTCTCTCCAACGTGAGATTAGATGAGATTTGACTCGACTCTCTCCCCCCCTTAAACATCTCACGTAATTTATGGACGCCCCCTTACTAAGGTAACGTTTAAATTTCCCGTACAAGCTTCCATTCCAATTGTCATCCGTTTATTTGCTGTTCGATATAAAATATAGCCCATGTTCAACGTATATGATGTAGATGTAGGTAAAATAATTTTTAAAATCGTCCAGTAGTTTCTGTGTATATTCGTTCCAAACAAACAAACGATCAAATCATATAGATTTTGCTATTTCATATTGAAAGGTGAGTAACAGACAATAAAATTCACATTGATCTTCTTCTCACAGTTCTGTACCAATTTATTGTTGAATTGTTACCGTTGTTTAAATTAGCTGACTTAAAAATGACGCAACTGAAGGAACGGTTTATTTTTATTTGTTACCTTTCAGCTGTTGGTGTCAGCTCTTATGAATATGATGTAACTTATTGTGGTGAAAAACCATTTTCTGAACCGGAGAGTGTAGCTATGGGAAAATTTATAAGATCCCATAGCAAAGATCTTGAATATTACATCGCTTTCCATTCCTATGGCCAATATATGATAATACCATATGCACATTTGAAGACTCATATGGAAAATTATGATGAAATGGTAAGAAATAATATTCCCACAGTTTATTTAGTAATGACTGGGGACAGACTGATGATACATTGAAGTAAAGAAAGTAGCCAGAATGAATATTTTGGGATTGACATGGGGTGTTCTAGTTCCAAAGATGAATTGTTTATAGACAAATTTTGTTTTCTATTATCTAATAATTAATTCGTATTTTTTATGTAGTAGCAACTATAACATTGATCGAGATAATATTCAGATTTCATATCATGTCAAAATTAGCTCACCAAGTGAAGCTTTTCTTATTGGTAGTAGTCAACAGGTGTAGTTGATAGAACGCCTAAATCTGCCTTCTAAAGCTCAGAGTTGGAGATAGTAAAATTTTGGTGATTTTGTCGTCGTATTGCTGAATTACTGATTCCGCTGCTCCATTTTACCTAAACTATAAAGACATAAAGTAAAAACAAATAAATATCTTTTTGCAGAAAACGTTAGGAGATAAAGTTAAAAATACTATCTACAGAAGATATAAAACAAACTACTATGTAGGAACTGCCTACGACACTGTCGGTATGAGAGATATTATATTTTTTGGAGTGATTTTCAACCTTTTCGATATACTAACACGAAGAGTCCAGTAGACCTTGTCCTGACATGATAAACGCTTTCTAACTGATTTATTTAAATTAGATAATATACATTTAATGGAAGATTTGTAGATCGTATAATCTATAGTAGTATGTGTTAGTATGCTCGATGGAATGACGGCATAAAGCAAAGATTAACTATGCGTAGACATGCATAGAAACTAAATGACGAAAAAAATAAAAATAAAATAAATATACATATATAATACATACAACTACATATAAACATACAACTAACACAAATATAGATACATAATATTGATGTGGATTTCACATATTTGAGCTTGACGTTTAAAAATAAATTTATTGGGAGATCTTCTGATGGGGTCAGGGAGGCTATTCCACAGTCGTATGGCTTGAAGGGTAAAATATTTATATGTAAATATATATTTTACCCTTCAAGCCATAAAATACATAATATATTTGCTAGTTCTAACATTTTACGATCAATGGTACGCGATAGAGATAATGTGAAAATTCATCAATCTCGGAGTTCAATAATACACAAACAGAAGAATCATATATTACATTTGTTCGCTCTTAATATTTTCTCTCTTTTTTTCTCTACTAATAGCTAATTTTATCCTCTCTCACTATATCTGTGCGTATTGAATTCAAAATCAAATATCTAAAATAACTTCACTGTACGTTTTAGGATATCAAACATCAGGAGTCAGCGGTTGTTGGGTCAAGAAGACATTTAGAGTCCCGTGAGTTTATGAAAAAATTTCAATACATTTTATTTGTAAAATAACACTGTTAGGATACTTGCATGGACTCAACTGATGCGTCATAACGAAAACTGTTTTAGATACGTCTTAACCTTCGAGCTTCGTGACGAGGGTGAGAACGGTTTTGCTTTACCGCCTAGCGAGATCCTGCCGACCTGTTTAGAGACCATGGATGGCATGGTCACACTTTTCAAACCCCGAGTTGAACACTTTATGAAACTCAGACCAGGTCTTGTTCCACCAAATGATCAAAATACCATTGTGTCTGATACTTTTGTAATATTATTTAATATTTTATTATTTTTAATAGTACGTTTCGATTGATTCGGTGTTTTACTTCGATTCATTATTATTATCATCGTCAGCCTATTAATGTGGGGAGCTGCTAGGGTGTGCTTCCCCTACGAAGGCTTGAAACAAAGAGAACCGACCATAAACCACCACATGAGTCCAACATGGATTGGTTAGTAATAACGACTGCAGATACAGCCGGAATGGCCTGATGTGCCTGCCGAAGCATGAAGTCACCCATTTATTAACTGGTCATCTCAATAGTTGCATAACCTCCAAATCACAGGCCGAACGCGCTAACCACTGCACCATTGAGCTCTTCAGATTATCATCATCTTTATCGAACTTTTGGTATCTGAGGCAGATACCTTTCCATCAAATGGTTTGGTGAATTTAAGCCTCAGATACAACAAATTTTTATTTGGTTGCTCATTCGAATAGCAGCTGTCGCAAGAGTTGTTTAATCTTCTCAATCATGAGCGGAAAGCACTTGACAACTGCAACACGCAGTTCCTTGATATGGTGCATTCAATTACTCGCATAATTTTTAATCTTTTATTTTCTTTAGATTAAGAATAATTGATGTGGTTTATTTACCCAATAGCAAGTGTTTGCAAAGCTGTCGTACTGATTTGTCTAAAAGTTCACCATAGTAAATTTATGAGGTCAACTAATTTATTCAAAGCCTTAGTAAATTATACACCAAACCTTTTCATGTGAAGTACTGCGTAGGTAAATAATTTGGCAGTTTTTGTGCTTATCGTGTTAATAGAGACGCGTCGAGTCACTTAATTTATAACGTGAAAGTGTTTTATATGCATGTATTCAAGTGTTTACTTTGATAAATATTACTAAAACTGAAATTAGTATTAAAATATTGTAATTTATTTCAATTTTCAGAATTTCTTGCCATCCCTTTTAAAATAGACAAAAAACTTAAACCTTTGTAAAAATATGAACATTTTTATTTTTAAATCAATAGATGTATCTCTATTGAAAGGGAAAAAAATAAAATGAAAATATAACTTGAAATAGGTAATCTATAATTTAATTTTCTTCAAGATATTTTCCTATTTGATAAATATAACTTCGGAAAGGACAAAGGATCATAAAATTACGAATCTAACGTATGTATAACAAAAACCCATTACAATCTTATAGAATTTATTGATATCATCAAAACTAGAAAACGGTTGACCATCATAAATTCTTCAATGAAAGCACAAATGATGTTATCAAAGGTGGTAATATGACTGATGATCCGAATAATCGTTTAGGCGTAACGACAAATTGTCGAATCACGTGATCTACTGCCATTTATTTTCGTTACAACGTCCAGTACAATCAGAGCCCTACTCTTCCCCAAATGTCCGATGAAGTGGATGAAAAGGGTAATTGGTATGCACAAAAACATGGCTCATGTAATAACGGTGGAACGACTGCGTTAGTCATAACATGCTGGGTTTTATGCTGCGCTTCGGTTAATGTTTTGTACATTATTTTAAATGATTTAGAGTCTATTTTCGAATGCAGTTGTTGGTTACTTTTTAGGACGTTGCATTTCCTGTCTATCGAATCATTAATTGCATGTTTAATGTACTAGGGTTTTTGTAAAATGAAATAAATTTACCTAACACTAATATGAATCAGCAAAAAACGGTTTTTGAAATTTTCTAATACAGAAAAGAACTATCCTACTAGTTCTGTTAGGATAACAGCTACTAAATCGTCTGAGGTAAAAAAAATGGTTGGTTACAGCTCTACTCTTATAATTGTATAATACCAAAAGAAAGAATTTCAGCATTAACTATTTGTGGTCACTATTCCGACTAATACACTATTATTTATTGCTATTTATTAAAAAGCGATATGTGAAATTAAATAACAGGGCTTTGTTTTTTTTTTTATGACACCTAGATGGATCGTTTTGTGAACCGCGAAATCCTCTGCATACTGAATCTCATGAAAATACTTTTCGAGATTCAGTTGAATTACCTACTCATTGAATGTTATTAGATAATAATATGAAATATGATATTTTTTGGCACATTACAGGCCGGCATTGTTTTGAATTTTGATCGCCGTTAGCTGCCAGCGCACTAAGCACGCGTCACCTGCGAGTTGCAAACTCGCATACCGCGAGTTAGAAACTAGTACACCACCAGTTAGAAACTAGTACACTACGAGTTATAAACTAGTACACCACGAGTTATAAAACTATTCTATCGTCGCTATATATTTATTGAGATCTTTGGAACTACACAACGGATATGAATGCGGTTTTCATCAAAATGCAGAGTAACCCAAGATTAAGATTTACATGTATAATATAATAAAATATAATTTAACAATTGCAATTAAAGTTGGATCTGTGCCGTTTAGATATATGACCTTTAGGTTGCAGCATTATCTAATCCTATAAACGGGTCATTCTCAGTCTTCCGATCGGAGGACTGGGAATATCCCACATAAACACGTGTATCATCTAGCTCAAAAGTCTACAAACTAATAAAAAAAAAATACTAGACAATATGATGCATACATCGATCATATATCAAATTAAGCGGCTAATGTACTTATATCATGAAAATCTAAAACAACTGAAGTAACACAACATTCAATCAAGAAACAATACAGAAAACGTATCAAAAATATTTATTAGAAGGACATAATATCGAGTGAATGAAATATTCTTTAGTTTCCCAGTAAATTCATTTCATTACCCAATGCCGCTGGCAGCCGTGAAAGCATACAGAGTTGGATGCAAATTTGGTTGCTTCGTTAATTTTAATAATCATTGAAGCACATTTTAAATTAAAACGGAAAATTTAAAGATACAACGGAACTCTTGCCAACGCAAATGTCCGAGTGGGGATGCTTGACATCTTAGAGATCCACTAGTCTTCGAAATGTTTAACGAGAAACGAATGGTTAAGGAATTCCACAATCAACTTTTAATCTTGTTTTAATGCAAAAAAATGCTCTTTTAATGCTAGACTAGTTTTAATGGCTGAGTGCAGTCTATAGACATATCATCATTCAGTCAACAAGAGTACGTCTGTCTGCTACAGCCAGTGTTGTGTTAGTGATGGGTCTCTCGAAACTTTTCACATAACTTCTGACAGGAGATGCAGGATTATTCGTTTACCAACAACAGAATCCTCTCTCCTGCCGTGTTTAGTTTATATCATTTTGTGTCGGGTGTAAACTATTTTATTGGGCCAAGGCTTGAAATTTTAGATTTTGGTTCAGCCACTTTTGTTTCTAGAAATTTCATTCATTGCGTTAATTTCATTCATGCGTTAAAACTTATTGTGACTTTTTATTTTACTATTCAAAAACATCACATAGGACATCATCTAATTTGTGTGATAGTCTACTTCGGCTTTTAATCTCTCTTAGTATTAGATCACTTTTTAATTCTAAGGTACTCTCTTAACTGCAGTATCTTTTTAATAGAGAATAGCTGAGTGTCTGTTCGAGTGCGGTCGCTGGCCGAGGTCCAAGCCCGGGATTAATTAATTGGGACAGTGGGACACGCTCCGTCTCGTCTTAGTGGCTTTTAAGGAGTTTAATTTTTTAAGCAAAAGCCAGCATCTTTAGTTAAGTTTCTAATACAAAGCATATTTATTGGAGCAAATGCATTACGCTTAAAAATTTAATTATATTTTAAAAACAAATAATTTCGACATTTTAATTTAAATAAAACTTCGAGTTTTGCATACCTTATTTAAAAATAATTTAATTATAAGTAAAATTTCACCTTAATCTACTTAAAGTTATGCTATTATTGAGGGATCACTAACTCCTAAGATACGTGTTTATCCCAGTTTAGGAGTTAGAGGTTTATACTTTTTTTGTAATTTTATATAAGGTTATGTTGTAAGTTATGTAAATAAATTAAGTTTGTCAATTGGATGAATAAAAATTATTATTATTGTAAAAATCAAAAAAAAGAAATTGCAATATCTAGAAAAACCTTGTGACTGTAAAAGAATATAACCCAGTTCAATGTCTAGAGTGCGCAAATTCTGTTTTTAGCTCTGAAATACAATTGGAGCCAAAAATGTTTGGCGACGGATATTCGGGTTTCATATCCGTAGAGCTACTGAGGTTTAAAAAGTCTACCTTGTATTATAAACCGTTTTACAATGACTAATTATGCGATGCTGAACTTACATTATACATTTTCGACATAATTATTTAGACTTATAATACAAGTTCTAGTCTTGTTTTGCAGCATGTGATTGAATTGCTTTTTACGAAACGAGTTTAAGTGATATTTTTTGAAACAAACCAACGTCAGCTCTCCATAAATCTCAAGTTGAATAAACTTCCACGTCAAAAACCAAACACACACAAAAGATAATATCGTGAAAAATCTCTCTCGAGAATTCATCAGAACAAAAATGAAACTGCAAAGTTGTTTCGCAACTAAGAAAACCTGCCACGAAAAATACAGGGAAGGCAAACCATGATTAAAAAAGACAAATACTAAAACTTGCAGCAGCTGTTAATGAGGAGGAGCGCTGAAATGATTTCCAACTTCGCAGACTCAATTAAAAATCTTTTTGAACTGTTATAGAATTATTAATTGGCCCCAAAGACGAAAAAAAGGAAAACTTCGGGATCAATTAGAAAATTAAAATATACTTTCGTCTGAAAACTTTTGGGGTTTTGGTGTCACGAGGTAAGTTTGCAAGGTTTCGAACTTCTTGTTTTCAATTTCGATTTTTTTAATGCAGTATGATTTCACCTAAATATAGGCATACGTATATGGTATATATCGTTGGTATCGTATGGTATATACGTATATATCTTTGGAGTGTTTTGAAGATCAAACAATAGCTGAATATTAGCATATTTGATCTTGTGTTACAGCTAAAACTCTGCTAATCATATTATGTTACTGAGAATATACTATTGTTATCTAATTACTTTTAAGACTCGAGCAAAAACTTTGAATGCAAAGGAAGAATATTTTTAAAACACCTATATAATATTAGTAGGATTCATACCAAAATATTCTCATT